GAAATCTTAAATGGACTGACCCGTACCCGTAGGCTCTATGGGAAATTTTACCTCCGTATTTATCGTTACAAAATGTATTCCAATTATATAAACTCACTTCCATTAATTTTATGAACGCTTGAAACACCTATTTTTTAAAACGTTCGGAAGTTCACCTTCTCAAAATGTCCGAAGAATGGCTAGATTTTTTCAAAATTCTTGTTTGAACCCTCAATTTCCGTTTTGAAGAATAGTTGAATAAGTTCAAAATTTGCGGGAGAAGACTATTCTGTGCCTCATGCATACTCTGGAGGAAGGTGGGGCGGGNNNNAAATCACCTCGAGTTCCACCACTTCCTAAAAACCTATGGTTTTCGCGATGTGCGATTTACCCACAAAAAATTCTCCACGCAAACCAATGCTCTCAACTTTAAGATTGCCGCTCTAGTAGGTATCCATGCCCTCCAACAGAAATTTATGAACTATTTTTTCCGTTGAATATCTATATTATACAACTACAAGCAAAATCTTGGAAGCACTATTTCTGACGAACTGCCGGACCGATAAGGATGATCTTTACATGTATGTCATCTGTAGTAGATGTAGATGTGCAAAAAATTATGAAACCCCGAACTTTTAATGTTGTAGAGCTTTTAAAGCTCATGTCACTTAAGTCCAATGTTAATAGCGTGAGAGATATGTCGTTTCCGCTGGAAACGTCAAGGTGTGGGATTCTACCTGAGTGACTCGAATAAACAATAAAACAATGGAAAAACTCGTGAAGGGCTCCTCATTCGAAGAGTTGAGGAACGGTGCATCGCTCCAGGGTTCAAGGTTCAAGGTCCAAGGTATAAGGTTTAACTCAATTTTTCCTGCGTTCTTCCGGCTTCGATTTACGGCATTGGTCAATTTACTTGACTGCTGAATTTCAAATAATATTTACAGCAGATACAAAGTGAAAAGGCAAGCGTTGCGTCGCGTCGGGCCGGACCAAATATTATTAACTCTTAACGGTCGAAATCCTTTTTTTTTTTTTTTTTTTTTAAATTAAGTATTTAAAAATATTAATTACATCATCATTATTTACAAATCTGAGTGTTACGTCAAAAATTTTGAAATCGATGCAGCTCGAACACAAAATGGTGTATTAAAATAGAAGAACATTTTTGCCTATACATAGGCGTATAGAGCCCGCGAAGCGGGCCTGAGGGCGCGAGGCGCCCTCCCGGGGGTTGGGCCGCGCAGCGGTCAGGGGGCAGGACCCCCTAGTACACCAAGACCGACGCATACCTGCTTTTGTAACAAAATCAGATCAGGCCGGGGAAAAAATCCGGAGCCGAAGTCACAGCTGAGAGCAACAATCCGTCGCCCTTCTAACATTAAGGCGTAACTGCACTTTGCAGTGAGACCTGTCGTCCATATAACTCAATGCTTTTCTGGACTCATCTCTCAGTGTAGTTACGCCCTTCTGTCAGCCAGGCGACGAATCGTCTCACCGTACCACCCAGGCTCCAGGTGTCAAACGATAAGCCTAATTAAAACGCTCAAATGGGCGCTGGACCCTCATTTGCACGTGTAATTACTTTCGAGCTAAGCTGTGACGTCCACTTAAACAAGTTGACCTGAAAAAAGGAACATTTTAAAGCACGGCATCAGAGAAGAATTGGTCGTACTCAGTTGTTCACCAATTTCAAACGGAACTATGTACAGATAAATTGAATGAGAAAGAGCTATGCGCGTAGAATTAAAGTGTTATGTAGTTCGTTTTGTCTCCATCCATCTCTAAATATTTCTTTTTAGCATTTAATATGTCCAATTTTCCTCCGTTTCTGGCATCGCTGGTGGCTTGCTCGCCGTCGCGTCACCCTGAAATGACCTGTTAATTACACTCATTTTCTCGTCGTTGAGAATCGGCTCCTTATTCCAACTGCAATTATTATATTATCTATAATTGATTTCTTCGGACCATATAAACTCTCCGTCACGGTGGTCCCACTTCATTGTAGTTCCAGTTTGTGCGCTCTCAGAGTCGTGGTTTATTCCCTCTTGATTTGTGTCTCGTGACGTGTAAAGTCTAGTCGTCTGGATCGAGTTTATCAGAAAGGGACCAAGTCGTATCAGTGCTTCAGTAACGACGACTGTTAAATTTTTTTTTAAAAAAAATTCGTAAATTTTGAAGAGACAACCGTTAAAGAAGTGTTAAAGTTTGCGTTTTAGGAAACCCTTTTAGCGTATGTTTAAAGTATGAATTGTAGGCGGTAAAATGTAGGTGAAATTGTTAAATCTCTAAAAAAAAAAAATACTAGCGTTTTGAAGACTTTTTTTTTAAAGAGGAAAGACGTTAAAACACCTTTAAAAATTCGTAAATTTTGTAAAGGCAACTCTTAAAGAATGGTTAAAATTTGTGTGTTTTATGCGTATGTTTAAAATAGAAATCGTAATATTTAGGTGGAAGTGTTATATCGATTTAAAAAAATAATAGCTTTTAAAAGACTTCTTCACATATGTAAATGCTACCTCGCGTAAATTTAATTTAAAATAATATCCAAAGAAAGTTTCCCAAAATATAGAGTAATATTCTTTAAAAAATTGTTTTTTGAAATGAAAGCTTACCAGGGATCATTTTCACCAGGGTATCGAATCGAGAAGAAGAGATTTGAAGTTTTAGGTACCGCTCCATAAAACTCAATGTTTGTGATAAAGTTCGACATCCACCTCCACATTCAAAATATGTTGCCTTGACTTCGAATTTTTAACAGGAGAAACGGTGTGTGTTAAGGGTAAGCTTTAAAATACTTCTGACTCATCTACTCCCAAAAATTGGCTTGGTACCTTTTTGTTAAACTCGGTCTGTTCATGGTACTCTTTGTGTCGAAACCGGCAGCAGTTTCAAAACATAAAATTATAGTGAATTTCGTCGCGTCCTCTCAAAATTGAACCGTAAGTAAAACAAATTATTCTAAAGTTCATTGCAGATGAGTTAAGTGACGTTTTTGGTGATTTTTTAAAAAAAAATTGTAAAAAATGGGACATATTAAACGGGAGGGGTGAACCAAATGGATCCAAAATTTTAATGCTGATGCGGAAAAAAATAACTACAGTGTTCACTGATTTCCCTAAGCATATTTCGAGACAGATTTTATGTCGCAACTTTTAAATAACGTCTTTTATGGTTTTACTCACAGTCGTTCGGTAATTCCTTCATCAAATCATTTCCTTAGTACAGACCACGTATGATTTAGACGATTAAGGAAGGTTTCATGAGGCAGGACGTAATATAAAACAAAACATTTTTAGGTACTTTTAGAAAAATCCAACATTTTAGCCCTTCTAAATCTACAAAATCAAATTCCGATTATCACTGTAAGACTATTTCGACGGTGTAGGTCGGCAATCACATACACTGAAAAAAATGAGTTAGCGTCAGATGACTAAAAATGGTTTCTATACACTAACTCAAATTGTGTGATTTGGACACACATGATTTTTGGTTTCTGTACACTAACCACTATTAGTGCTGGAAACTAATTCCGCTACTCTAATTCGCATTCGGTAGGGTTGGGTCAACCTAACCTCAAAACTGAGAGAGGAGAAAACGGCTTAGCGAATGATAACTGGACAATACTTTCAGGAAAAGAAGATTTCTTAAAAGATGAGAGGTAAAAATCAACTGACCGGTTCCAAATGAACGACAGAGGAAAGGAATATCCCATAGGTATGTGCAAGTAGACAGAATTATCCTTTAGAGAGACACACACTCACACATGAAACGGTAGCGAATGTTCACACTGAATAAACATATCTCGTCCGAACACTTGAGATATTCTTTTGAAATTACGGGAGAACACGAACTATAGAAGTAAGCAGTAAGTTCACAGATTTTCGTAAAATATAAACTGAACGCGGAACGCTTTAATCGCAATTTAATACAGAAGATTGACGACTCCAACGAATATCATGCTTGTTTACGTTTTGAATCGAACAGACGATTTCTAACCTTAACAGGTTTATTTATGTTGCTTTCGAACGTTTTCAAGAAAGAGAGGACACTATAAATCATACCGGGAGTATTTACATTGTCAAACGAGCCCGAAATTTCACATTTTAATTGATTTTCACGAGCTGACGCGATTGAGGCTGTTGTACCGACGCCACTTTTTCGAAACTAAATAAATGTAACGGACAATGTGGCAGTTAGTGTTGAGGGCGAATTAGTTTGACCCGAAGGTGAATTTGTCTTACCACAGCGCTAATTTTACAGCTAGTGCTGTTTTCCAATTCTGGTTCGCGCTCTAGTAAAGTCAAGTAGCGTATGAAGCGAATTGATTGGTGCTTCAGTACAATAAATTAGTTCTGAAGCCTAATTTTGATTCTACTTGGCGAGAACCAACCAAATTAGTTCTCAACGCTAACTACTTTTTTTTCAGTGTAACTCGGTTTGCGACGTCGCAGACTTCCTGTCATACTTTATTTTTTGAATGGAAAACTACTCAACGGCAATTCTTTAAAACTGTCATGATTTTTCTTCCCAATGCGAAGAAAATTCTGCAAAAATTTCAAGAAATCATGTCAATTTGTTCTCCTTTAAAAAAATGACGTAGAGGTGGAGATTTTCAGACACCGCAAAAAAGTTATGTAATTGCCGACTTTCACCGTCGATTTGTATTTTATTTATATTATAAAACAATCGAACGAATAATTTTTGTACCAAATATTTGTATTAAGAATATACGTATCTCGTAACTGATACGGCGAGAGAATTTTTTAAAAAGTCTTAGTTAATATTTATCTAACAGATTAGAGCTCTTACACAATAATACTACGTGGAAGAAATTCGCATCATTCCTCAAGCATTATTCATGTATTTTTGCTTCATCAGTAAATTCTCACTGTCTTATTCCATTAAACTATCCTAGTTCTCGTTCAAGACATGATAGACTTCAGGAACTAAAATTAGAATCTATGTTGAAATTTTGAATCATCATGTGACGGATTTGGTGTTTTTGTTTGTTTCAGGTCAAAATTTACTACACTCTTTGGTTGAGAGGAATTCAACATAAGTTTTACAAAACCCTCTACACATACCCTGTAGATCCGAAATTTGTCTTTAGAAATTCGACAAATTCGGTTCTAGAGAGGTTTGTGTGGTATTTTAGACTGCCATCTCACCTCCAGTTGTATACACTCATGGCTTTGCACAAGTGAATTTTCAGGTAAAATTATTGATACCAGTGGCGTGGCGTGCTTTGCAATACATCGATTGATCTGTCATTTAAACCTATGAAAAAGGATAAATATACAGAGTGTTCGCAACGAACACCTTAAAAATCAATTATTTGCCACATCTTCAAGTGGGGAAATATCGATAATCGATCATTCGCGCCTCGCCACCAATTTATTCTTCTCGGCGAGGTAGCGTTTGATGCAGTTAAGCTAATTTTGGGTAATGATATCTAATTTTAATTATAAAGTTGTGATTTTGAAGCTCACATTCGACCCGCATGTTTTAATGCGAATCTTTTGAAACACTTCCCTTCAATCTTTGAGCAAGTGGGAAACATAAGTTTCGATTAACCAATAATATTTTTATTTCCTATTATTTTCAAAAAGTTAAGAACACAATTCCTTATCCACAATCGCAGGTAAACAACAAGAGAGAATGGACCACTAGACAAGGAACGAATTTAAGCATTCTGATACATGTACCTATCTTAACCAAAATTTCACGTAGAACACGATTCGCGCAACGAAAATTACTGAAACCAACTCCTAACGAAGCTATTAACATTTTTATTTCACATTGGTTACGAGGAATTTGAACTGCCCGCTCACAAGAAACTCAAAGCTCTACGTGAGTCAAATCGCGCACTACAACGGTTTCAGCAAGCTCCTCAATCGAGCAATGTTCATTTCCCACCATGCGTTGTTCAAACTATAAGCAATTTGCTATAGCTGAGCCAAAGCGTCAAGATCGAGGTTGCCAGATTTTTATATCGCAGAGACTGTCATGATAACGTTTAGCGCTCGATGTGAATCACGTAGATCATTGAGTTTTCATGAGCGGGTGGTTTAAATTCACGCATCAAGAATCATTAATTATCTTCGTAAGGAGTTGATTTCGGTAATTTTCGCTGTGCGCATGGTGTTTTACGTTAAATTTTGGTTTAGAAACATGTATCAGAATGCTGAAATTCGTACCTTGTATAGTGGACCATTCTCAAGTAAAAAAACATTAGTCGTGGCAATAGTAGTCATGAAACATTGCTGGCTCTTTTCATCGGGAAAAACAAATATATATCATTGTGTAACTTGTCTTTAGATTCAAACGGCGGCACGCTGATCAAGCACTGAGGATACAACTATTTTAACGCCTGGGATATTTTCTTGCCTACTCTTTCAAATGAAGGCAACTTATTTCCTGCACTTACTTAAAACCTCGTTTTATGCTCGGAATTCGGTACTTACGTCTGCCTTTTTATACTGGTGAGTCAAATATAGATACTTCTTTAAAAATCATACTATTTTCAGAGACTGACATATACTTAAGTCTTAAGTCTATTACTATACTACCGTGCAAAGGTAAAATGCCGTATGAACATTTGAATGCTGCCAAATTTTGTCGGATAGAAAAATTATTTTGGAAGAAAGTTATAAATATTTTTACTCAAAATGTTCAGGTATTTCGGATTAAAGTGCAAACAAAGTATCTGAAAAATTTGAGGAAAGATGCTCACGACTTTCCCAATAAAGTAGTACTTCATTTTAGAAAAGTTTTGCAACGCCTGAAGGCTCATACGGAATTTCCCTTAGCGCAACCGTAAATTCGAAGATATATTCGACGACTGTTTCATTTCAAACAATTTGTAAGTCTGTTTTGGGGGGCTGTTTACAATTTTACGAAAAATGAGGGCTTTGCTGCGAAAGTAAGTAATAGACTAACTAACGGCGAACCACGAAAGACCCTATCTTTAGTCCCGTCATTTCCCCCCTTAGTCTATGACAGCAACCCTTTCTAACCAATAGGATCGCTCTATCTTCCTTTCACCTTCTTTGTTTATAGTTTTGTTTATCAATTTCAATAATCGGCCCTCGGAACTTTATTTTGCACTTCCTGGTGTTTTTGGTAACACGGCAACGTGCGTCATCGGAACACGTCCAACGTTCCCGGACGCGGGAAGAGCGGTATTCAAAAGCGTTTCGGAGTGCGAACATGACAGAAGCGCATAAAGAGTTATTTTCGATGAGACATGCCCGCACATTAATCAAGAGCCGGAACGGTGCAGCGGCACCGGCACTCTGTCAAACACACGAATCACACGTCCTACCAGTGTTCATCGCTCTGTTTGCCAATGAAACGCCAAATAGGAGCTTCGGATCTGCTCCGGGGCTTTTGTGGTCGGGGAGATGATATGAGGGCTCGGTACCTGTGGGTGTAAATAGAGGGTACGGTTGATTTTGGCCCTTCCGTTTACGTTCACGAGCAATAAGGTTTGTTTCGTGTTTCAAACTTTCGCAAGTTTAGTAGATATTTCTAGGGGCCACTCAAATAGCCCCTCGTTATTCGCGAGGACATCATCAGTGGAATCAATTAAGGTGATTCGTCAAGCTCAAGTGACGTGGTCGAACTGGCATGCGATACATCGCATCGATTAGGTCAAAAATCTCGGCAGATTTTGAATTTTTGGCAAGAAAAAGGACGATAGCCCCTGCGCATGAGCCTAAAGAATCATTTTAAACCCAAAAGTCAACAAAATTCAAAGAAATGAAAGCAGAATGGTGTTTGGAAAAAAACCTCGCATTCGATACAGAAATCGATGGCTGAGTCGATTGCGAGGTTTTTTTTCCAAACACTATTCTGCTTCATTTCTCGGAATTTTGTTGATTTTTGGGTTTAGGATGATTCTTTAGGCTCATGCGCAGGGGCTATCGTCCTTTTTTTCGTTAAAAATTCAAAATCGTCCGATATTTTTCACCTAATCGATGCGATATATCGCATGCCAGTTCGACCACGTCACTTGAGCTTGACGAATCACCTTAATAATCAATAATCATCATATTGGGAATGACGATCTTGACTCACTATTCGCAAGCTCCGGCCCACTTAGGGCCGAGTCAATACTACCGTGATAAGGAAAAAGGTCGTATGAGCTTTTAGACGTTGCTAGATTTCCTTCGCTAAAAACCGAATTTACAGGAAAAATTTTGAATATTTTTCCCTCAATTTTTCAGACACTTTTGTTCGCCATTTGATCCAACATATCGACGGTGTGAGTCAGCAATCACATAGCTCGTTTGCGGTGTCTGAAAATCTCCGCCTCTCTGTTATTTTTTTAAAAGAGAACAAATTGACATCATTCCTTGAAGTTTGTTCAGAATTTTCTTCGCACAGAGAAGAAAAATCACACAATTTAAATAAAAATACAAATTAAAACAATTTAAGAAGGCTGTGCATACCGTAACATTTTGCGGAACTTTTAAATGCTATACTGTGCTCATCTCTACAGGAAATCATACGTAAAGAAAATTAGACCGAAACCATCTGAGTTCGGCGCACAAGATATAATATGCTCAGGACGTTTTCAAAATGTGTATTCAAGAGAATACACAGCACGTCTTATCATGGATTCATGTTTGGGGTCAGGATTCCGTACCACTGAGCGAAGAGAGCTTCGGGGGGTTCGGCCGCGGAACGGGGGGTGGAGGGGGGTGTCAATCAATGACAAAACACCCTCGACAGCCCTGTGCGGCGCTGGCGTAGGGTCCCTGAAGACTTCTTCCCTGGCAGCTAAGAATAAGAACTGTACAAAAACTTAATGTCTGCTGGAAAAGAGATGCAAGCTCTTCATTAATCAAACGTTGGGACGTATTTCTTAAACCACCTCCCCCTGCGTCATCCGCACGACGGTGGGGGGTGGGGAGCACCCTCAACTCCCCCCCCCCCCCGCCACCCCCATCCTCGCCTCGAGCTTGTCTTTAATTTCCTCCCGTGCGGGCCCGGCTACTTTCTTCGGTCGTTTTCCCTTCCATGTCTCCCCAGTTACCTACTTTCTCGCTGGGACTGTCGACGACAAGGTTTTAATTGGACGACGTTTACCAAAAAAGGAACGGAATTTTTTGGCTCTTATTGTTGTATTTAAAAACGGACGGATTTTTTTTTTTTTTTTTTTTTTTTTTTTTTTTTTTTTTTTTTTTTTTGTTCCCGTTAATTTTTCCCATAAATACGTGCTTAGGGTCGTTCATTAAGTACGTAAGGGGGAGAGGGAGGAATCAAAAAATCAAATTTTCAGCGTTATAACGTTGCGTCGTAAGCGCGGTCTTGTGCTTCACTGATAAACACTTTCTACACACATAGTGTTTTCTCGTGCAAAACCAACCTGATTGTCTTATTTCAGAAACGACGTATCTGCTACTTATCTTTCTGTAATTTAATATTAAGGAAGCTAAATAATCAACTTTTGTCGGAGCACTTGGCCCCTCCGAGAATAGACTCATTTTCATAGGTTTAAAGGAAAATAATCAATGTCACCAGGTTCCTGGATTCGCAAATGTGAGCATTTCATTCTCTTCCTGCTATGCACAAGACAAAGCCAAGAAATGGACAGTTACATTGAATATTGGTATTCTCAGCATTATTAAAAAGTAGGCTCAACGAGTTGATGCATTTCTATTTTTAAATTGAGTCATATCAGACATCACAATCTGAAACGACGGAGGTAGTTAATTGCAGTGCATCTGATATTGGTCATATCGTCGTCTCCCTAACGAAGCAACGCAACTCCATCCCAGGGTTGCCAAATTGACTCGCGCAATTAATAGATTTTTAAAAAATTGTGCCCTTTGCAATTTTCAACAAAATTTTCTCTGATTTTTGCTTAAAATCTGAGACAAAATCAGTGTAATTTGCATTTAGGAATGCCCAAGATTCTCCTAATTAGTAAGCGATTTGCGAGGGGAGATTTGGCAACATTGAAATGAAGATTTGTTTTTCCAAACTGATGGCACAAAAGAGGAAAATCAAGCGAGAGAATATAGTAAATAGTTGGACGTATTCGTCTCAATATAAGAATGAATGACGCTTCGGCTAAGGAACGCCTTCAAACTAAAACGTATGCTTCCTTTTAGGCAAGAATTCTCCTCGTTAGGAAGAGCAATAAGTGGCTTTTGAATGATTAGGAAAAAACTCAGGTTAATTAAAACTATTGGTGAAGAGCGTTTTGCGGTTCAAAAACTGTCGCGTTAGAATTTCTTTGCGATATTAACGTAAATAATAATCTGAAAATAACCTTATAATAATTGAAGTAAATAATTTTTTTTTCCATGAAATATTTTGATTGTACTGCTTTATCACTGCACTATGCAAGATCAAACGGTTGTGATGTTTATAACACAAGACGCAATACAGGACCATAAAATAAAAGTGGACACAATATTGGTCTGTACTGTACCACTTCGAATAATTGTCGATCACTGTCATTTGGGTTGCCTCTCTTGAAATTGAAGGCGATCTGCTTTGTCCATCAATGAATAACAATCAGCTTTTCAGTGGCGTGGCGTGCTTTGCGATCCATCGATATTTTCCCATTTGAAGCTGTGGTAGATAATCGATTATTAAGGTATTCGCTGCGAACACCCTGTTTATCGATACTTTTCCATAGGTTTAAATGGCAAATCGATCGATATGTTGCGAAGCACGCCGCGCCACTCAGGTCTTCCTCACCCATACTGTTCTTTCTCAGTCAGAGATGACATTTTATTTGTATCAATATTCACTTGGAGTCATGGCGAGGTAATGACAAAATAAATCCAATTGAATCGGCCATTCTCACAAAGACCCATAAGCGCCGAAAATATTCACGAGTCATCTTTTAATCACGCATTATTTCTTTTTTTCAAAGTTAGTAGTTTCTACTTTTGATTCTTTAAATGGTACGTTAATAACTTTTGACAATTTTTAAGTGAAGCGCTGATTATTTCTTTAGAAAATAGACTACCTACACAAGTAAACCATACTATTTATTCAATTTTGATTTGTACCTATTTTTGATGTTTTTGTAACGAGGGTTTAAAAAAAAAAAAAAAACTGTTGTGTAAACATTTTGCTTTAGAAAACCTTTTTGGGATATTCGGAAATCTACATTGAAGAAAAATGAAGTTGGTTTAAAATTCTGGATGTAAAAAAAGTGTGCGAGAACTTACAAAATGCTGAATTAACTAGTACATCAGTTACTTTAGCAATATAAAGATGTAAAACTAACTGCCATAGCGGGTAATTTAGCATTTTATGAGTTCTCACACACTTTTTTTACATCGAGAATGTTAAATCAACTTCACTTTCTATTCGAGAAGTTTTTTTATTCTTAAAGTGTTTTAGAATGACGTTGAAAAACTTGCAAAAGTACTCATTTTTCCTATAAATTTTCCTTGACGTAAATTTTATCCAACGTGAAATTCAAAAAGGGTATCCTGAAAGTTAACCTCCAACAGTTTCTAAAAGTTTTTGCAATGTGCTGTTC